ACAAATCCCTCCCAGGCCTAGGATTCCTCTATAAACATCCAAGTGGAGGAAAGAGGGAGAGGAGAAAGAAAGGGAAAGGAAGAGGAAAGGAAAGTTGAGGAGAGGAATAAGGAGAGAAGAAGAGATGAGAGAAGAGAGGGAGGGTGAAAGGGAGAGAAAGGGGAAAAAGGAGAGGAGAGGGAAGACAGAAAGGTAAGAGATGAAGAGAAAGGAATGGAGGGAAAGGGAAGAAGAGGAAAAGAAAGCAGGAAAGAGGGAACGAAAGAAAGGAAGGAAGAGAAAGAAAAGAAAGGAGGGAGGGAAGGAAAAAAGAGAGACAGAGAGAGAGAGAGAGAAACTAGAGATCAAGGAATGGGCCCATAGACTCTGGAAACAAAACCTAATGAACCTCCCAATCCACATGCACTAATTCAGACCAGATGGAGGGTAACTTATTTTGAAAAAGCCCAAACACACAAAACAACCCTACTGTTACAAAACAAACATAAATAAGAGGCCCTCTGACTCAAAGGGAAACCTGAAATAGCATTCACCCAGAAAAACCCTGGCACAGAAAGCATTCTGAAAGGAAAATGGGAACCATATGCCCCTTGTGAGCACGTCCACCGGTGAAGAATTGGGGAGCTCGCTGATGCCCAGCTTGGGCACGGGGACCAGGGAGTGACTTCAAGGGGTGCCCTGAGTTCATGTGTGCACCAAGCACTGTCATTCTGTACTTTATCACCTTCCAAAACCAGCATAAACGATCAGCTTTGCATATATATGGAGAGAGATTTTTCAAATATGTGCAAATGTTATTTCTGACGTATAAAAGACAAATCTCATTATAATTACCAAACAAATAAATTCTTAGCAGCCTTTTGTTGTTACTTGATTTTTCAATAAATGGATGCTGACAATATGGCTGCTGTTATAATGAGGGGATGGGTGTGTCTGGGAATTTTTTTTAACTTTAAAAGGAGTCTTCAGGTTTGAAAAGGCCGACAAACCCGACAGGCTTGAACAACCAGGGAGGAAGTAAGATGTTTTAGATCAATATTTTTTAGTGAAGTGTCTGCTATGGGCCAAGAACATGCTAGAAAAACAGAAACACTGAAGTAACCCCCATATATAAGCTTTGCTGAGCAATTCATCTGCACTGGTAGAAGGAATTTCCACGCTGAAAGAGCTCCCCCACCCATTCAGATCAGCTTCTAAAAAAAAGTTTTTTAGTAGGGGAAAGACTCAAAGTTCTCTTCCCAATATTGTGACCAAGGACTTGGCTGAGAGACCTTGGGCAAATCACTTGACCTTTCTGGATCTCAGTTTTCTCATCTGTAAAATGAGGCAGTTGGACTCAAGGGCTTCAACAGTCCCTTCCAGCTCTAAATCTATGACACTGTGATCTACCTGGCCTGTGATTATCAAAGTTATTGATCAATCTAGGGTTTAGAGAAACCAAGGCCACTATGGTAAAGAAGAAAGAATAATAAATTGAAATTCAGGTCTAGAACTAAATCCCAATTCTGCCACCCATGTAATTGTGACAAGTTATGTGACCTCTATGGACCTCAGTATCTTCATCTGTAAAATGGGAGCAGGAAGGGAGAGAAGAGTTGGACTAGATGATCTCTGAGGTTCCTTCAGCCTATTGCCCTATTCTCTCAACTGGTTTTTTGGAGAATGGATTCAAATCTTCTCTGTGATTCAGAGAATCTTAGAGAGGAGCCAAGAGTACTATGAGGTTCAAAAGTTTTTAGCCTTGCCCTAGGTCACACTGCCAGGGCGTGGCAGAGGCAGGACTTAAATCCCGGTCTTCCTGACCACAAGATCAGCCCTCTATCTACCACATCAGGCTGTCTCTCATAAATCTTTTCTTTCTTTCTTTCTTTCTTTCTTTTTTTTTTTTTTGTTTGAGGCAATCGGGGTTAAGTAAATTGCCCAGGGTCACACAGCTGGTGAATATCATGTGTCTGAGGCTGGATTTGAACTCAGGTCCTCCAGGGCCGGTACTCTATCCACTGAGCCACCTAGCTGCCCCTGTCTCTCATAAATCTACAATCCCAGTGGGTGGTAAATTGAGGAGAAAGGGGGACGATAATCCCATAATAACTGCCTTGAATTGCTGCCACAAGGGTCAAATGAAATGATGTACGTAAAGCATTTTGTACTTCCGGAAGTGCTAACAACATATTAACTATCGTCATCACCATCACCATCGCCATTATCACCATCATCATCATCATCACCATCACCGTCATCATCATCATCACCATCATCATCACCATCACCATCACCATCACCTCCATCACCATCACCATCATCATCATCTAGACTGGGGTTCCTGACTGGTGAAATGAGCTCTTTCCTCAGTTGTCCATTGCCCCCAACATACACCCCTAACGCTGTAATTTGTTGTTGTTCAGTCATTTTAGTCATGCCCAACTCTTGATGACCCCATTTGGGGTTTTCTTGGTGACCCCATCTGGGGTTTTCTTGGCAGACATACTGGAGTAGTTTGCCATTTAATTCTCCAGCTCATTTAACAGTTGGGGAAACAGAGGCAAACAGGCTTAAGAGACTTGCCAGGGGTCACACAGCTAGTAAATGTCTAAGGCTAGATTTGAACTCAGAAAGATGAGTCTTTCTGATTCCAGACATCCACTGTGTCATCTAGCTGCCCCCATAAAAATGCTAGCTATTATCATTAGCATTATTACTATTAATGCTAAGCAGGGATAACGGATAGGAGAGAGTACCGCATAACTGCTTAATAGGTCTCACTAAAACACAAACTTGACCATGGTCCATCCCTTCCCGAGAAACTCCAGGGCTCCCTATTTCCTCTAGCGCCAAATCCAGACGCCTCTGTTTGGCATGTAAAGACCCTCACAGTCTGGCTTCAGCCTCGATTGGAGAGGAGAGAGTCTGGAGGCAGGCAGACCAGTCCGGAGGCCACTGCAATAGCCTGGCAATGGGAGCCTTAAGTAGGGTGGTGGCTGTGTGGGCAGAGAAGTCAGCGGCAGTAAGAGCAGCACATACTGATCCTAAGCACCTCCCCCACGACAAGCCTGGAGCTACAAGTTTAATTGTCTTTCATTTTACAGATGGGAAGAAAAAAGACAAAAGAAAAGCTCTGAGCAGGAAGAAAGACGCTCCCTCACCTCTAAAGGGAGGGTTTGGACCCCTTACCAGCGCTGGATCTCTCTATTTACGACCGTAAGGCCTCCAGAGCAGTGGGAGAACATGGCCAAGAAACACCCAAGAAGGAAAGGAGGGGTTAAAATCTGGATCTCCCAGGATCCTTAAAGGTATGGAAATAGAGATGAAGAAAACTCAGCTTGGTACACTTAAGTGAAGCTCACCTACAGTTAGCAATGGACCTAGGGCTCAAACTCAGGGCCTTTGCCTCCAAGGCCCAGGGCCCATTCTACTCCCCCACATCACTTTCTCGACCCTCATAAGGCACCTCTAGAACCCTATGTGTGAGCTCATCACATTTGGAGTTGTATTAAAATGCTGTATTTGCAGGCCTTCCTACTAGAGGGTAAGCTCCCTGAGGGCAAGGCTTAATCATCTTTACATCTCCCCGCCCCACCCAGAAAACTGCCTGTATATCATCTTGATAAATACTAAGTGAATTTACCTTCCCAAATTAGGCAAAAAGAATGATGCGGCAAGGACTTTGACCTGATCGATGAGTGCCTTCCCACCTAAGGTGCTAAACATCCAAAGAAAAATAAGAGTTCCCTGGGAAAGGGGATATCCCACCCCCACCCACCCACCCCAGTCTCTAGGAACAGAAGCTCTTTTGTCTACCAAGCAAGCTCTCCTCTAGCATCCCTAGGAACAAGTGGAATAGCCAGGAGAGAAAAGTCCAATTTCCAGGAGGAGGTAAAAAGCTAAACACAGTGTTTTTCCAGGACTCATCTATCCATTATATAAAGGAGGAAACTGAGGCTGCAGGGGCTGTGTGCCTGCCCTCTCCCCAGTAAGTGATGAACGTCTGACCTAAACTGCCCACCTCTCTTGACTTTAAGGGGGCCTCGTGCTAGGAAAGGGAGGCAGAACCAGGAGGTGTGCCTGGCCAGGAGACAGGTGACAACCGCAAGGAAGTTGGTGGAACTGTGAAAACACCCAGCTGCTCAGATTAGGACGCAAGGAGGCGGGAGGGGGAGAAGCTGGGAGAGGCTTCCAGGGCCCAGGGCACCGGGGAGGGAGCCAGGAGGGCGAGGCGGAAGGGACTGGCAAGAAGATGGACCCGATCCCAAACGTCTGACCTCACTGACAGGACAGGCTCAAGAAGTTGCCTGGACATCTTCAAAGCCCACAAGAAAAGGTCCCTCTCCCTGAGACAGGGTGGCATATAGGCTTTTAAAACAGTGGAGGGGGCAGTCCCGGCCAGTAGGACCGATTCGGAGATGCCCTCCACCCCAAACGGGGGGACGCAAAGGCTCAGTGCAGAGGTCTCCTGCTTCGCCGTGCCTGCCCCCGTGGGTTCTGGGTCCCAGCCCCCCTGTTCAGGAAGTGATGCCAGCGGGAGGTAAGCAGGCGGGCTGTCCCCTGGCCAGACTCCCTGGCTGCCCAGGACCCGGGACCCCTGCTGGCCAAGCCTGGGCACGCACTGGACGGAGAGGGTGAGGCCGAGGCGGGGAGACATGGATCTTAAACCGCCGGGGGCCACGGGGGGTTGGCGAACTTGGGGCAGCGGGCACCTCTGCCCACCCCGCCTCCCCACCCCCGGCGCTGCGGAGCGCGGCAGCTCCGGCCGGCTGCCCCCTTGGCCGTGACCGTGACCGTGACCGTGACCGAGCGCGGGGTGGGGGCGACCACGTGGAGGCGGGTCGGCGGCTCCCCGGTCCGGCCGGGGAGCCCAGCCTCGGCCCTCTCGGGCCTCTCCCCTTTGTCTGCGCCGGCTCGGGCTCCGAGCATCCCTCCGGGAAGGACAGGGACCACCCCGGGCTGGCCGCCAACCCCCACCCCGGACCCGCCCCGCGCGCGGGGAGCCTTCCCCTCCTCACCCGGCGCTGGGTCCTGCGCGCGGCCGGCCGGGCTGCCCGGGGTCCTGCGCCTGGGGCTGGGGCTGGGGCTGGGGCTGGGGCTGCCGCTGCGGCGGCGGCTGGGCTTCTGGCTGGCGGGGCTGGGGTGGCCGGGCCGGCGCGGGCGGCGGCGCCGATTGGCTGCAGCCCGGCTCACCGCGCCAGGGAGGGAATAGGAAGAGGAGGAGGAGGAGGAGGAACGAGCCGCCGGGTCTGGGGATTGGCCGCCCGGCGCCCAGCTCGGTGGCCCAGATGTGCGCCGCTGTACGCCGGCTCCCCATTGGCTTGTCGCGGCCCGCGGCCCCAGGACGGGGAGGGCCAGGAAGGATGTGAGGGGATGGATGGAAGGGGGGCGATGCCACCCTGCCCGCCCCTCCCGAGCGCCTCTCTCCACCGATCTGCCACCTGCCTGCTGGCTCGAAGGCACTGGTCCCATTGGACAGGTCCGGGGAAGCCACTCGCGCAAACTTCACCCCGCGGGCAGAGCCGAGAACCCAGGTCCTCTGCCCCCAGCCCAGAATGCCTCTGTTTTTCCTGTCCTGTGGGTCGCCTGCCACTTGGAAAGAAACTCGAGCTGAAAACAGGTGCCTCTCATGCGCGCGCGGGCACGCGCACACACACACACACACACACACACACACACACACACACACACACACCTCCGCCAAAGCTTCAGTCTAGCGGGAAGGAAGCGCTCTATGCGAGCGGACCCCTGGCTCTGCCAAGGCAGAGCTTTGGTGGGACACCTGCAAAGTGCTTCGGGGAAACGTTCGAGCCACTGCTGTGGAGCAGTACAGGGGAATACGGGGAAACCGAGGCAGAACGTTCCACCTCCGAGATGCTTTTCCCCACTCTCGCATAACCGCTAGGACATAACCACGCCTCCGCGACAGTGCCCGGGAGTGCTTAGTTGCCGGCACTTAATCCAATGGTTGGAGATGTAGGTGAAGTTAGAAGCCCATTGGCGAAGAAAAGGAGTTAGCCCATTCCAACGCATCTCCATCCTTGTGGAGCCAGCCCCAAGTCTGGGAGGGTACCAGGAAGCCTAGCTTTCCCTGACTTATAGGAGGCTAGCCTAGGTTTGGAGAGAGAGGGCCTACCTTTGTCAGCCGCATGTACGAGCGGGCTGAGAAAGACCCACTTGGGGTCACGTGGTGAAGGACTTTGAAAGCTAAACAGAAGGCTTTCTTTTTCAGCCTAGAAACAGCAGGAAGTCGCTGGAGTTAAGTCGAACGATCAGATCTGTACCTATGGCAGATTACTTTGGTCCAGCGTGTGCAATGAACCGGAGTGGGGAGAGGGCACTGCGGAGACTGCTCCTATAGTCTAGGTGAGAGGAGTGGAGGCCATGAACTAAAGTGGCAGCTCTGTGGGTGGAGGGAGAGACGCAGTGAGATGAAGTGGGAGGTAGAAAAGGCAAGAACTGGCATCTGCTTGCGTGTGTCAGCGTGAAGGTGAAGGAGGGGTCGAGCGTAATGCCAAGGTAAGGAACCTGGCTGATTGGGAGGATGATGGTGTCTTCCACAGAAATAGGAAAGTTTGGTAGAAAGCCTTGGCGGTCCCCCGTCATCATTACCGCTGGGGAATGTTGTTGCTCAGCCGTGTCTGACTCTTCATGACCCCATTTGGGGTTTTCTTGGCAGACACACTGGAGCGGTTTGCCATTTCCTTTTCCAGATCATTTTACAGATGAGGAAACTGAGGCAAACAGGGTGAAGTGACTTGGCCAGGGTCACACAGCTAGGAAGTGTCTGAGGGTGGATTTGAAATCAGGTCTTCCTGACTCCAGGTCTGGTGCTCTATCCACTGTGTCACCTAGATGACCCACCCCGGGGGGAGGGGAGGGTACAAATATGAAAAAAGAAAGTCACTGCTCTCTCAAGGAGCTTACAGTCTAATGGGGGAAGGCAACACCCTTTTGCCCCTCTTATTGGAGGGTGGAGCCATGAACTCCAGAATGTCTATTTAAGAAAGGAATTTGGCACAGACATCTCATCTCCCACCAGGTTGCCCTCCTTTGGGACTTCTTTGACCCTCCTACTACTTTAGTTACCTCCTCTCACTTTTCAGTTTCCTTTAAGGTATTACCTTCCCCCATTAGATTGTAACCTCCTTGATGGCAGGGACTTTTTTTTTTTCATATTTGTAGCCCCAGCACTTAGCACAGCGCCTGACACATTGTAGGCACTTAATAAATGTTTATTGACTATTGTTGGATATTAAGCAGACAGTTTGAGGGAAAAGATAATGAGTTCTGTGATAGCGTCTCACACACACACTAAACTCCAGTGATAAGAAAGTATCAAGGAAAACTGCCCTGATATCTTAGATCCAGAGGGTAAAATAGAAATTGAAAGAACGCACACATCGCCTCCAGCAAGAGAAGCCAAAATGAAAACTCCCAGGAATATTATAGCCAAATTCCAGAGCTCCCAAGTCAAAGAGGAAATACTTCAAGCAGCCAAATGTCGTGGAGCCTCAGTCAGGATTACACAAGATTTAGCAGCTTCCACATTAAAGGAGCGGATGGCTTGGAATATGATATTCCAGAAGGCAAAGGAGCTAGGACCACAACCAAAAATAACCTATGCAGCAAAACTGAGTATAATCCTTGGGGGGAAATGGTTAGTTAAAGAAATAGAGGACTTTCAGGCATTCCTGATGGAAAGATGGGAGCTGAATAGAAAATCTGACATTCAGAGAAAACGCTCCAGAGAAGAACAAAAAGGTAAACATGAAAGAGAAATCATAAGGGACTCAATAAAGTTTAACTCTTTACATTCCTGTATGGGAAGGTGATACTTTATTTTTTAATTTTTAATTTTATTTATTTATATTACTATTTATATTATTTTTATGTTGTTGTAAGTTTATTTATTATTAAGGCAGTTAAAAGTTCACATAGAAAGCATAGTGAGTTATGATGGAATGAGCTCCAAAAAAGTGAAGGGGTGAGAAAGAAGGATGCACTGGGAGAAGGGGGTAGGGAAAGGTAGAATGGGGAAATGGTTCTCACACAAAAGAGGCTTATAAGGAAGAGCATTTACAGTGGAAAGGAAGATGTGAGACAGGATGGCAGGTGATGTTGGAACCTCGCTCTCGTCAGAATTGGTTCAGTGATGGGGAAAGGGCGAGAGAAAGAGGGGCAAGGGGTTATAAAAGGGAGGGCAGATGAAAAAAAAAACACACACACACACACAGACTTCGGAGGAAGGCCGGGATAAAGAGAGACAAACAGAAGGAAATGGAACGGAGGGAAATACACAATTAGTAATCCTAATTGTGAATGTGAATGGGATGAGCTAAAATGGAAACAGATTTAAAAAATGGATAAGAAACCAGAATCCAACAATATGTTGTTTACGAGAGACACACTTGAAACAGAAAGACACACACAGAGTTAAAATAAAGGGCTGGAGCAGAATCTAATGTGCTTCAGCTGAGCTAAAAAAGTAGCTAAATAAAAAAGTAGGGGTTGCAATCCTGACCTTAGACAAAGCAAAGGCAAAAATAGATCTAGTTAAAAGGGATAATCAGGGAAACAACATTTTGTTAAAAGGTACCATAGACAATGAAGTAATATTTTTAACAGTAAGTTTCTCTGATAAAGGCCTCATTTCTCAAATATATGCTGAACGTAGTGCTGAGTCAAATTTATAAAAATAAGTGTCATTCATGTATAATCTAGATCAAGTTGGGGGAGAGGAGAGAGGGAGAGAATATGGAACTCAAAAAAAATTTTAAATGTTAAAAATTGTTTTTTCAGAACTATGGAGTTTGAATGCAGATCGAAGCATACTATTTGCTATTTTTTTTCTTCTCTTGTGTTTGGTTTCCTCTTTCTGGTGGTTCTAATTCTTCCTTACAACATCACTAATGTGATAATATGTTGAATAGGAATGTATATGTATAGCCTATGTCAGATTGTGCACCGTCTTGGGGAGGGTGATGGGGAGGGAGGGGGAGAAAAATTTAAAACTCAAAAGCTTATGGAAGTGATTGTTGATAAATCAAAATAAATTAATTTTTAAAAAAAGAAAAAAATTGTTTTTTCATGCAATTAGAGAAAAAAATTGTTTAAAAAAATAAATGCCTTTTCTCAATTGATAAATGGTTAAAGGATATAAATAGGCAGTTTTCAGAAGAAATCAAAGCTATCTATAGTCATATGAAAAAATGCTCTAAATCAGGGATGGGAAACCTGTGGCTTTATGGATTTGTTCTGTAAAACAAAGGCCACACCCCTGTTCTAAATCATTACTGATTAGAGAAATGCAAATTAAAACCATTCTGAGGTACCACCTCACACCTATCAGAAATAACAAATGCTGAAGGAAAAGTGGGAAAAATTGGAACACTAATGAACTGGTGTAGTGAATTGATCCAGCCATTTTGGAGAACAATTTGGAACTCTACCCAAAGGGCCATAAAACTTTGTATACCCATTGACCCAGCAATATCACTATTAGGTCTGTATCCCAGAGAGATCAGAGAAAAAGGAAAAGGCATGTACAAAAATATTTATAGCTGCTGTTTTTGTGGTGGCAAAGAACTGGAAATTGATGAGACAGCTAGGTGGTGCAGTGGATAGAGCACCGGCCCAGAAGTCAAGAGGACCTGAGTTCAAATCCAGCCTCAGACCAAACACTTGACACGTACTAGCTGTGTGACCCTGGGCAAGTCACTTAACCCCAATTGCCTAAAAAAAAAAAAATTAGAAATTGAGGGGGATGCCCATCCATTGGGGAATGGAGGAACGCATTTTGGCGTATGATTGTGATGAAGTCCTGTTGTGCTGTGGGAAATGCCAAAGGGGGTGGTTTCAGAAAATACATAGCAAGACCTATATACATTGATGCAAAGTGAACTGAGAAGAATCAGGAGATCATGGTGCACAGTAACAGCAATGTTATAATGACGATCAACTGTGAAACACTTGGCTACTCTGATCAGTACAATGATCCAAAACAATTTGGAAGGATTCGTGATGAAAAAATGCTATCCACCTCCAGAGAGAACTGATG